CCCCCCCCCCCCCCCCCGCCCCAGGTACAGTGCTGTGGCATTACAGCTCACGGCAACCTCCAACTCCTGGGCTTAAGCAAGTCTTCTGCCTCCGCCTCCCAAGTAGCTGGGACCACAGGCGCCCACCACAACGCCTGGCTATTTTTTGGTTGCAGCCATCATTGTTGTTTAGCAGGCCTGGGCTGGATTCAAACCCACCACCTTAGGTGTATGTGGCTGGTGCCTTAGCCACTTGAGCCACAGGCGCTGAGCCTGGACTCTCAATTCTATTCCATTGGTCTCTATGTCTATCCTTATGCCAGTGCCATACTGTTTTGATTGCTATTGCTTTGTTATAATGATTTCTTTCTTTTCAATTATTGTTATCCACATTAATGGAAAAGCAGTGGTAGAAAGTCTTCAAAATAATGACTAATTTAAAGATCAAAATATTTGCCTATGATGGGTTACCTCACAATAACTTGTTAATTAGGCTCCATTTCCTATAACAAGTGAGTATGGGTGGGAAATCAGATAGAGTGAAGATTCAGTCATGGGAAACTGAGACTCTACCCAGACAGAAGGGGAAACTCCCCTTAAGAGTTAGTTCTACAAAAGCATGACAGGGAGGATGAGGAGCAGGTATAATAAACCTCAAGAGAGACCTTCAGTGACTTCATGTGTACCACCTCCCAGGAAAAGTGACTGCCAATGGTCTATCATCAGAACCACCACTCATTCAAAAAGAACTAATCAAAAGTTAGGGACCTTAAGAGTCACATCCTCAGGACAACCAGAGCTCATCTCAAATGGCACCTCCTCTGGAAGTGTGCCTGACCATTCGATTAGGCCATAGTCTTATTAAATACAAGAGCACCAAGTAACTGTCATAACTATGAGTCTACGATTTTATGATTAGTTATTAAATTAACCCCAGTTCCCAGAAGCATCAACTCACCAAATAATTGAGCAACATTATTTCATGAATAAATGGGAGAATATATGAATGAATTATGAGAACAATCTATTCAGTAGGTCTATTCAGTAGGTTCTCCTGCCCAGCAGACCCTACTAATAATGCGAGTCAAAAGCCAAGGGAATTTTGTACCCATTAAAATACAAAGAAAATTGAAAAGCCTAGAGAAGTCCTTGAAACCAGGGGCTGACCATGCAAGCTCAATTTGCTACAAAGCCAGACCTTTGGGTGCGATATACTTGAAAGTTTTTTAAAAAACAGTTTGAGAAACATGTTTCTAACACCTGAATAATGTATCAAACTATGGACATCCATATGATGGGATATAATAATTACCACAAATAATGTTTAAGGAGAATAACTGAGTTCATGATACAGTTTAAAATAAAAATTGGCTATATAAAGTCTTAATGCTCAAAATGTGGTCTATATACCAGGAGCAGTAGTATCACCTGGGAGCTTGTTAGAAATGTAACACCACCTACTGACTTACAGGCTGCAGTTGACCAGGATCACTAGGTGATTCACATGCACATTAGAGTTTGAGAAATGCTAATCCAGAGGAAATAAGTGAGCAAAATGAAAGTAAATTAGTGTTTTCCAAAGAAACAGAAACAACAGAATATATATACAGAAGAACCTCCATAGTTGACCATCCCTATATTGACCACCTCCTTAAGTTGACCTAATTTCCAAAGACTGGATATGCACCACATGTACATACCAGGATAGTAGGCATAGTTCCTTATGTAGACCAACTCTGTATGTTGAGCACTATGTTACAGTCCCTGGGGTGGTCAACTTACAGAGGTTCTACTGTATATATGTATGTGTATATATATATATATATATGAGAGAGAGAGTAGGAGATTTATTTTAAGAAATCAGATTGAGACAGTGGGGGGCTGATAAGTCTGAAATCTGTGGAGCAAGCTGGTAGGCTGGAAATTCAGGAAGGAGTTGATGCTTGAGTCTTGAATCTGAAATCTGCAGGCTGAAAATTCAGTTTCTGTCATTGTAGTCTTAAGGCAGAATTGCTTCTTCTTTAGGAGATCTTAGTGCTTACTCTTAAAACCTTCAACCTAATGGGCCAGCTCCACCCACATTATTGAGGATAGTATCTTATTCAAAGTCTACTGATTTAAATGAAATTTTATGCTTTCTTATTATTATTACTACTACTACTACTATTGAGATGGGTCTTTCTCAGTCACCCTGTCTGGAGAGCAATGGTACTGATCATAGCTCAATGCAGCCTTAAACTCCTGAGCTCAAGTGATCCTCTCTCCTCAGCCACCTGCATAGCTGGAATAATAGGCATTTGCCACAACTCCTAGCTTGATTTAAATATTTAACATATCTTATAAAAACCTTCATACCAACTCCTAGATGTTTAGTATTTAACCAAACAACTGGGAACCATAACCTAGCCAACGTGACATAAAATTAACCATCATAAAAAAAAATACACCAAATGTTAACAGTGATCATTTCTAGAGAGTGGGTAATTCCTGTGTTTTTCAAACTTTTGACAGTGACCATGCATAACCAGAAAAAGAGACACAGAAAAAGGCATCTTTTAAGAAAAGGTAGCATAAGGAAGCCCTTGGGCAGTTTTTGAATCATCTCCTGCCATAGATCTCTCCTTGCAAGAAAACACCAAAATCAATGGCCCATTACTCTCTATTTTGGCCCACAACTCTTTCCTGTAAGTTGTATCTTATTTAACCCAAAGAGATGATCATATGCTCTTTTTTTAAAATTTCCTATTGAGTTGGACAACTACTAAAAGCTGAATAAATTTAAGAGAAAGCCAGAATCTGGTTAGGGGTGGGGAATTTGGCAGCAGACAAAAATGATTCCAAGCCTTAGCTGATGTGGCAGGATTACCCTTGGGAGAAATAAGAATTTTAGTAGGTAAAGAAAGTGAGAAAGCTGATGGAAGACCCATAAGGCAAGAATGAGGTATTTTCCCATTGTATTCTTGAGTAAGTTTTCCATTAAGTACTCCCAGAGCAAAGTCCAGGGGAGATGAAAGAGCATAAGAGACCGCCAACAGGCTGGGCATGGTGGTTCATGCCTGTGATTCTAGCACTCTAGGAGGCTGAGGTGGGTGGATTGGTACCTCTCAGGAGTTTGAGACCAGTCTGAGCCAGAGCAAGACCCCATCTCTAAAAATAACCTGGCATTGTGGCAGGTGCCTATAGTCTCAGCTACTTGGGAGGCTGAGGCAAGAGAATCACTTGAGCCCAAGAGTTTGAGGTTGCTG